TCTGTGGACCTTTGTTTCACTGCTTCATTATAAAATCTTTGAGCATTTTATACGTAACATGTGGGAGCAGTACACCCCCTACTGTAAACATATTGTAGTAGAAAAACATTTTTCTTTCCAAACAGTGATCTTTCAACTTACTTCTGCAAGCAGTGAGCTAGCAATTAGCTATATATCTTTATACATATAAGCCGTGCTTCATTTGCTATTATCTAGGGATGTCTTTCTCCATTTTTTCTTTGTCTTCTTTCCATAAAGTGTCTTGACTGTTTATTCTCTTTTAAGAAATGTGTTATTGATTTTTTAGCAAAAAGGTTGACTGGAAGAGAGGACATGAAAAGGATGAGTGAAGAACACTCTATTAAATCTCAAGCTTGTCTGCACTTGATGAGTTATGTCATAGACCAGAAACTACCGAAATTAGAAAATCTGGGAGAATTTGTAAATGGACCAGTCGAGTTGGATAGGAAAATCTATTTTCACACACATGTGTAACTATGCCTACCAGTTAGTCAATACAATGGATCTTTAAGACGCCACCACAAATGCATCGCAGGCAAAATCTTTGCCATCATTGGAAAATCTGTCTTTGGAAAGGCAAAGCTGAAAATGTTGTTTAAGTTCAGGAGCAAAGCAAACTTCAAGAAAGGAATGAAATTAAGCCAAGCTTAATCATTTCACGCCTATTAAATAATTGAATAATATAGCTGTGTAATTCCAATATTACTCACATCAGCAACTTTGTTAATGCATTCTAATGTTTTGATGTGGAGTTATGGAAAACAAATTATACAGTTAATTTGGCAAACAATAGCCTGTCTCCATGAATACAAATGTTATAGCTTGTAATGTCATTGATACATAGATAACATTAAATCATCTGAGATTGGATGTAAAGTTAGAGACTGCATAAAAATATTACAGCAAATGCAGAAATAATATTATTTTTTAAAATTTAGATTGAATGGTTCAGAGAAAATCACATATACCATGTTTCACTGTCAATACAAATGCCAGCTGCAGGTTTTTCAACACCTATAGTTTTAGGCATTTTCTTTTTTAAATTGTCTTTTTGCTTTAGGCAGCACAGACCGATCATGCTTCCCATTTTTTTTTACATAGAATTATGGAAGTGAATATTCTCACAATTGTTTAAAGTGACATTAAACCCTCAGATTTTTAAACATAAACCAATACTGTAATGTGTGCCTTACTGTAATGCATGGTAGTTTCCCTTCTCTTTGCTGCTCTTCCTTTTAAATCCTTATCCCTTCTCATGCTGGGGGAGAATTTCCCTTTGCAGCTGAGTGCCTCTTCCTGTGGTGCTGGCTCAGTTTGTGAACCTGCACACAGACACCATGTATCTATTCCAGAGACAAGGAAGTCTGCTGCAAAACAGAAGTTCTGCCCCGCATGAGAAGAGATACGGATTTAAAAGGAAGAGCAGCAAAGAGAAGGGAAACAACCATGGATTACAGTAAGGCACACATTACTGTATTGTTTTATGTTAAAAAATCTGAGGGTTTTACGTCACTTTAAGTGAAGTATTTTCACTTACTCCTCAAGTAAATCAGCTCTATTTTAACTGCTCTGATGTGAGCGAACCAAAATGCACTTTTAGGAACATTACCTAGTTACCAAACATAAAAAGTAATTTATCATCTATATAAATCATTTAAATATTTACCCTTAAATACAGGTTAAATTACTATGACAGCAAGGAAACTCAAACCAGAATCTTTCTCTGCCAGCCTAAGCAAGAACAGCTAGCATCATTGTCCCATGTACAAATATATCTGAAACATAAGGGGAATTTCACCTTCACATTTTGCCAGTTTTTACTTGAAAGACAGTAATGAGTGCAAATCTGAATGTGGCAGCATTTCCAGTGGGAGAAATAAAATATCATATATTCAAAAGTATAGGGCCAAGTACAGCTGTTAAATGTAAAACACATCTTTGTATATTTTCACTCACATATAGACCGTAGTAATTTAAGCAGCCACTTTGAGACAGCAGGTAATATTCAAGAGCAGTTGGCAAGGCATTGTATTTTTCAGCAAATCTCTTGCACTTAACTGAAATGAGTTGAAAATTGCTGGTTATATTACAGACAAATGCAATAGGACTCTTGCCAACATTTAGAAACATGAAAGAAAAAGGTTTTGTGAATATAATAATAATTCTGGTGACAAAGCAATAAGGTCATCTTTAAACTGTCCATAGATCTCACCATAGGTGGTAGTTTTTGTCTTCAAGAGACACAACCCATTACCTGGGTGAATGGGATTAAAAATAATTTTAATAAATAGGCAAGAATGGTCGGGAAATTGCATGAAATATTCTAGCACCTCCCTAATCCACTCCTGCAGCGTGGGTAATACAAGCATTGTATATGTAGTATTGTAATTCCTCAATAAATACAAGACTAATATACAGTGTACCAAAAAAAGCTAAATATTATTCACTCATAATATACTGTATAAAGAAACAAGTGGTAAAAGTGAGAGATGTGCATTGTTTGTCCTCACAATGGCTGCCCACAGCGTTTTATAGCTATCTCTGTTGGAAACGCTTCTTCAGTTCCTCTCCATAAGGCTGTCGTGACAAATTTAAGAATACAGAGAAATACAAATGCATGATTTTGTCAGTCAAGAGAATTTCTGCTATGGATCAGTGTAAAACAGGAAAAACTATTCAACCTGTTAGATGCATAGATTAGTATTATACACACTATATTTCTAATGGCTGCCTCTGAGCCTACAGTAAGACGGTATACATATCAATTAAGATGTGGTTTTGCTCTGCTTCACATGAGCTGTGCTAATCAGCAAATGTATGCATGCAAGCTCCACATCCCAGATTCTGCTGTAAGTATAACTGGCTGAAACAGTGATTGATTTTCTTTATATGCAGCTGTGAGAAGACGGATGGAGGGAGAACTAGGTTGTGCAGCATCAGCAAAATGCAGAAACAATGAATGATCATCGAACAAGTGCTTCTTAAATGAAAAGTGTTTGCTTATTCTAACATACATATATATTTAGGTTGACAGCGAGTGGAAACATTTCTTTATTTGTGTTTTTTTGTTTTTCCCTCCTGCAAAACCACACATTTGTTGGTAGATGTCCATCACTTTTTTGTTTTAGGAACGCAGCCACACACTGCATTCTGGGTAGTGAAAAGCTGGGTGTAACGTAAACATACCGTCTTTAGTGAAATGAGAACGTGGAAATTATAAACACATTATAATATATGCTAGGCAAAGTATCTTTTAAAAAAAATAACATAGAGCCCTGCTACTAGTATCATACACTTCAGACAATTGAGACTGGGCGGAGCCCCTTGCAGACATGTTTTTTACATTTTCTAAATATGTTCAGGAAAATATTGCAAAGCACCATTCTATAGCTCTAACTGGCTTAAACTGCATTTCTGACATTTTCCTGTTTCAGATTGGGTTGTGGGTTTTATGGAGCTAGAATAAGTATAAGTACAAAATAAGAACCATTTGCCCAACGTCAACCCTAGGGTCTTACTTATTATTATGTTTAGTAAGTTCTTTATTAAGTTCTCTAAAAAAAAAGCAGATTTATTTGCTGTACCTACCTAGTTTTTGAAAAAAAAAACCCCACATATTTCATGTATCCCTTCATAAAATATGTAAAAATCTAAAGTCTTAGCCTACGTTCCTGCAACACTAATACAATGTACTTCGTAGCCAACACTTTGTGAGGGCTCAGCAGGATAGGATAGTGTTTGTTGCACATAAATGGAAGATTGCTCGGACATACCTTATTTTTATTATTGTGTTAGTTTGTTTTTTTAGAATGGAAGGATTTTGCAACATTATGGCGCTCTGGTTGGGAGCCAAAGCAGGAGATGAAAAAGCTCAAAGTATTTCTACCTGCATGCATAATAATATTTAGTGCTTGGGAATCACCATTCCAATAATCACCTTCTTGGAATAGTGATTGTAAGAGCGGAGGGCAAAACTTCCCAGCCCGACTGTGGTGTAAACCATATTCTGCATACCACAGGTGAACCTGAACAACTGCGAACAACTGCCCTTTAAGAATATAGGAAATGTGATTTATCTGACAGGATACTTTGCTTTATAGTTCATAGAGTTATGTAATATATAGAGGTCTTATACTATTTGAGAGACCACAACCAACTAAAAATAAGATCTGCCACAGAAAAGTACTGTTTCTGTCTAATGCTAAAGTAAGGAAAAGCACGAAATACATTCTTACATGCAGTTACTTTTTTTTTACATTATAGACAGCCTTAATTAGCGTGCACTATTTAGACTGCACATTTCGGAATGGCAGTGAGAGGATGGCTTTTCCTTTCCTTTATATTTGTGTGTTTTTAAATACTCTTACATAAATAATAGATACTTACTTGTCAACAAATTGGATTGCATTTGAGCTTTGACCTAAATTGGACATGGCTTTGTGTGGTCTAAGTAACTCTCCAGTATGCTGCATGTACCTTATAAGTGCACACACTGCATAATATTTTAGGACAATTGTTTCTTACATGAAGGTTGTAAAACTATGATTTTCCCAGAAGGGAAGACTTTAAAAACATGCAGTGTGAATGAAATGCTAAATGTACTGCTGCCCAATGCTCTAAAAAGTACTGTTACTCTTCTGCAATACACAATGAATAGCATAGAGAAACAACATTACAATTCTAATGCATATAAGCTGGATATTATTTCACATATATGCTGTTCTCCTGACTGAATGTGAATTAGAACACATGCTAGAAAGTAAGTATAGTAAGTATATATCAATACTGGCAATAAGTATGCCACAAAATTTCCTTCAGTGCTCAGGTAGTCTTTCTTAACTTATCTATTTAGCAAGGGTAGGAAAACAGACTGCTTAGTCATCTTTTTGGAAAGTAATATATGTTCATAGAAGTTACAATAACTGAAAGACATAATGTATATTTGATATGTTCTTACTTTCTTTACTCTTTTCTTTCAGCTTGTAAACGTAAAGAACAAGAACAACAGAAGGACCGCAACCTGCAGCCAAAAAAACAGCGTCTGGTTTTTACAGACCTCCAACGGCGTACCCTGATTGCTATCTTCAAAGAAAACAAGCGTCCTTCAAAAGAGATGCAAATAACCATTTCCCAGCAGCTGGGCCTGGAGCTCAACACCGTCAGTAACTTCTTCATGAATGCACGCCGGCGGTGCATGAATCGATGGCAAGAAGAGCCAGGGGTCAATGCTGCAATGCCTTCAGTTTCCTCTAGCACTTTCTCCAAAGCATGAGCTATTGAGCTGTTTCCAAAACTTCATAACCATAAAAGAAACACACAAAACATGACCCAAAAATATTGAACAGCTAGGCAAACACTAATAAATAGTTATGGTTGAGCACCAATGATATTCTTAACACTCTTTTTAAATGTAATTGTTATCTAAGACCAAATAACATATTCTTATTTTACACTGATGTGCATCATAGCATAACACCAGAAAACATCCACACAGAATGAGGTTAGGTAGCATAGAGGAAAATGTAAAAAGAAAACAAAGTGTGGCTTATTATAAATATTATACAACAATCAAGACAAAGCCACATATTCAGTTCTGTTATATACCATTCACTAATTAGTATAAATCAAATGAATCCCATAAAAATCTTAGCCATCAGTGATGTAAAGTTAAAGATGTGGAAGATTGTGAGGGGAGACAATATTACATATGAACAGTGACAGCTATTGTACAAGCACATTATCATAGATTGTCAAATGTTTTTCCTAAGCTCATTCAAAATGAATATTGAATAAGCATCTGCCATTAATGATGCATATAGAAAATGGAGGAATGTAATTGTTTATGATTTTTTTGTTCTGTTCCACCCATCCCATAGAAGCAAACAAAAGTAAAGCAATGAAACAGACCTCAAACCAAACATCAAGAAACTACTGGAGTTTAGTGCAAGATAAAGGTAAAATTCTGTGCCAATAACAACTGCCTTAAAGCTTTCCATGGAAGATGGTGATACCAAAGAAATTATTATGTCCTTCTTGGTCTCCTTAAGCGCACCCATTTATTGACTTTTCGCTTCTTCAGTTTTCATCAGAGCTGTAGAGTTCTGTTGCACTCTTCAGTTCCATTTAAGACAATATAGATCTAATATCCTACCCTGATTGTAGATGACAGAAGTCATAAACCTTGCTACAATAATGGGATGGGCAAACATTTCAAAATGATTGAAAAACTGACAGACTTTATTGATGTTAAATGATGCGGGTAATATATATATATATATATA